TTTATTTCCAACGTGACTTGATAGTTTATAATATAGAATATAGCCATGATATATTTAAATAAAATAATTTATATAGGCTACTTAAACGAGCAGACAAAAAGATATAGAGGAGCAGGTTGATTCGTTCTTCATATCATTAAAAAAAAAAAACATTTTTACCTTTCTCTCGCGCTAGAAAAGTAAAAGCTTTTATGTTATATATACATTATATATATATATATATATATATATACATATATATAAAATGTATAGGTAAAAATGTATAGTGCTGTCAAATCGATTAAGCGCATAACATAAAAGTTTGGTGTTTACATAATGTGTGTGTGTGTGTGTTGTTATTTGTAGCCTATACTGTAAAACGAAGTTGCTGCCTTAAATTAAGTACAATCAACTTGGATTTTTAAGTAATTTCAACATAATATACATTTGAAATAATTTTAATCTTTTATAACTTATAAAAAAGTTGAAATTGAAATTATTTTGATGAGTTAAATCAATGAAAGCATGTTGTCATAACGTATTGATCATATACTTTTTTAGAATGTGTGTGTGTGTGTGTGTGTGTAGCTATATATATATAGGCTATATATACATAACACATATAACATATAGGCTACATATAATAATATAATATAATATAATAAACAAACTTTTACGTTAGATGCGATTAATCGATTTGACAGCACTAATATAGGCCTAGGGCTATATATATATATGGCTATTATATTAGATGGCTTATTGCCTACCATTTTTACAGTATAGGTTACCTATATATATTATAGGCAGATTGTTAAAATAAGACATAGCCTAATTTAAATTAGTAGGCAATTCAAACAATGCAACTTCTTTAGCTTGAAGGAACCTTTTGGCTCGTTTATGCGTTGGTGGAACTTGAGCCAACACAGTTTTGTGCAGGTCTCTCTCTCCCTCTCTCTTTATTTTAAATAAAAAATATATATATTTTTAATTTTAAACATTTTTTAATTATAAAGTAATTTATTTAAAAATTTTATTATTATTTTTAATAACTGCCAGTAACGTGATGCAAGGTTCATAGAATGATAAAGTGCTTGTTAAACCGCTCGCTCTCTCTCTCTCTCTCCAGCCGGTTTCTTCGCGTTGGAATGAAGCTGTTTTCCGCTGAACTGTGCGGCGCGGAGCGGCAGCGCGGAGCGTCTGATTAGCATGCGGCAGTAATGAGGGTGAACCGGGTTCCATTGTTCCAACACCTCCCCTCTCCTCCGCACCAATCTGTCAGCGTTCAGACTCAAATGCTGCTCTCCACAAATGAATTGGATAATTAGTTGCCCCTCACGAATGCTGCACTCTTCTCACCCCTGATTGCTTTCACCTTTTTGCTCCTGGCAATTTTGACACCTCGTAATCAGCCTGCTGCTTCTCCTTCTCAATCTATAACCCTCGTCTTCCTCCTCCTCTTTTTTGGGGGGGACTTTAATCCAAATATATTGCAAGAAAGTGCGCAGATGAGTGAATGGAAGGCCTGCTTTACCGAGGAGTGGAGGTCTATAGACCTTTTGAATAGCAAATCAATCATATTTCTGTCTTACACTTTCGGCATTATGCTGTCAAATTTGAGTCAACAGCAAGGACAAAAAAAAAAAAAAGGACAAAAAAAGAAGAAGAAAAAAAAAACACATGGACCCAGAAACTGTCAGTACAGCTTTCCTCTTCCAAATAACGAGCACTGACAACGTAATTATGTACAAGCATCTGTCCACGACTCCAGAGAGAGAGAGAGAGAGAGAGAGAGAGAGAGAGAGAGAGAGAGAGAGAGAGAGAGAGAGAGAGAGAGAGAGAGAGAGAGAGAGAGAGAGAGAGATCATTAGGGAGAGAGTTCATATTTGCTGCCTTTTAGAATAAATTCATGCTTTGATGTGAGAGATGAGAATTTGAACGCTCTGTTTATCCAAGTTGGGTCGTGTATTATGCGCAACACATTGTGTGCTTTCGACATGCAATATTCAGCATTGCAAATAGAGCAAAAGCATGTCGTGTGCCTCAGTTGTTGTGTTGTTTTTGCTGGAGCAAAACAGCAATGTGTGGCGCGAGACATTGCGAAATTATGCTTCATTAAAACACGAGGATTTGGGAGGGAATATGGGTGAAAAGAATCTGTTGTCTTTTAGTATGACTTCCTATATTATAGCCCATACCTTAAAAATATCGATGCTGACTGCTGATTGGTCAGTAAAGCGTTCCAACTACTAGAAGCAAAAAGTTCACAGAGTAGCATTACTATTTTTTTTTTAATATAAAGATATGGAAAAAACAGTAATATAAGGTATGCTATTCCAAATTCACCATATCGCTGTGCGCCCCCAGTAGCGATAATATTTTTTGTTGCATAGCAACCTTCTGTTACGTCAGGTAGGCTATATTCTAATTAGAATGCCGCGTCATGAATTTTCTTAATGAAATTATGTTTTAATGAGAGTAAAAATATGTCAAGGCCAAGTAATTATGTAATTAAACGAGTGCTGTCAAATCAATTAATCGCATCTAACATATGAAGTTTTCTAATATATATATGTGTCTGTGTATATATATATATATATATATATATATATAGTTATATAGGCCTATGTGTGTGTGCATACACATATACACACATATATGTGTGTCTGTGTGTGTGTACACACACATATACATATATAATAGTGCTGTCAAATCAATTAATCGCGATTAATTGCATATAACATAAAAGTTTGCATTTATATAATATATATATATATTTATATTTTATACATATGTGATACATATATATTTTATACTATATAAACAAACATTCATGTTAGATGCGATTAATCGATTTGACAGCACTAAATTAAACTTATTATTAACTATTAATTTTGCAATGAAATAGGAGTTTACACAATTATTTTGTTTTTGCATTTTTTGATATGTTAAACTAGATTTAAACAATTTTAGAAGTCTGTGTCAGCCCCTTAGTGGAGAGACACTGCCCTAAGCAACAGTATGGACATGATCAACTCAAAAAGCAATTGATATTTCAAGTAAATGTACTTATTTATTTGGTAAGTATACAGTAAATAGAGCGGTTCAGTCATGACATCCGTTTGTAGGTTGACCCGGATCAGTCATCATGGGCTCCCAAGGGAATTTCAGAATAAAACTTGGCTAAACAAGGACTACAACAGTTCTCGGATTCGCCAAGCATGCAAACTCACATTCTTGTGTTTTAGTCCTCATTTAGAAACTTGTTAGCAAGTTACATTACATAGTAGCTTTAAAATTCACATATAGCTGTGTATAATTTATTTTGCACTGCAGACCTTATTTAACACACCAACCAACACTAAATAAACCGATAGGAATCTCCAGAGGGAAGCTACGACTTAAAAATGCTGATTCTCTTTTAGTTTTAAAACCACAAACTGAACAACCAGGATTACATGAGGTAAGCTGGTCAAAGCAAACGCCCGCTCTGTGTTGTTGAATAACCCTATCGGTGTTTATTTGGCTGGTTGTACATGATCCCATAAATCAATATTTTAGGGGATCTTTTCTTCAGCGAATCAGTGAAACATTGCAAAAGTCCCCATGTGCAGCGCCAGTCTGCCAGTGTGAAAAACAACCACAAAAACTAGCTCCTCTTCTTCACACCAGCTCATCTATGGAGTGTGTGTGTGTGTGTGTGTGTGTTAGCAGGCTGTAATCCGGGGCGCTGCGAGGTCTTTGCTGCACACGTGTGCCACTACACACATCTGACTATCTGCTCAACGCGTCGTCACTGAATTACTGAAAATTATTACGTTTGTTTACGACGCTGCTAATTATCCACACACACACACAGTCCAATGCAGCATCAAGGACATGGTTTAAGATATTCCAATAAAAACACAAGCCCTTCTGTACACACGAGAGCACAGTGCAGTTTAGAGGTATAATGCGATCGCATGAAAACCAAATGGAAGATTGTTTTGGTATATGAGCAGAAAATCCCCATGATATGCAGTCAGTTCATATTTCTCAGTGCTTTTTGTTCCTGTTCATTCATGTGGATGAACCACAGACATCTAAAACAGGCCTAATAGCAAGCAGGCCACACAATAATGCAGTATAATTGTGCATGAAATCACAAATTGAGCTTGTATTGGATAGTCAGTGTAGAAACACAGTTTTAATTAAGCTGAAATACCTGTGCAGAAGTGCTGTCGTAAACCAGATGGTGTTTATCGTTGAAATGATTATCCTGGAGTTATTTCTCATTATGAACAGATTCCCTCATACAGGTGGTACACATTAAAATCACGTTATCAAATTAAAGCAATTAGGAGTTATTACTTCCACAACATTTCAATGAAACATTTTTTCAGCGATCGCTAAATTTACCAGCCGTGTTGCTGAAGTAGATGTGACAACTTGCCCCGACCTGACATTTAAGAAAAACGCTCTTGTCCCGAGGACACGGTTCAAATTTGCCTGTTTAAATTAGTGACTCTTGCCTTAATGTATGTCAGTGTGGTTTTATTGGGTTCACTTAAAAAAAAAGATATTACAAAAATATTATATTGATATTTAGCTAGGAGGAAAGGACGCACAAAATAATTCTACTTTAAGAAAGTACGTTTGAAACCAACAAACAAAACCATTGCAAGAGAAAACATTTGTGTAATTGGATTTATGACTTAAAAAAAAATCGCATAATTACCAAGATATGACGGTTTAAATTCACAAATGTTATATATTCATATAAAAGGCTTGGGACTGCCTGCATTTGAACCAGCCCTGTTTTAATTGATATATGCATAGCACAGGTAAGAGCTTGTTCTTTATGGATGCATTTGAATAAAAGTACAACGGTGAGACGACTCCCCCTCCGAGATGCGGCTATCTTTGATGTTGTCATATCAAATTAAAAGACTTTTTGCCTTTATTCTACAGTTAAACTGCAAGTCATCGGAACGCCTCCAGCTAAAAAGATTAATTAAGACATAACCACTCGTTTAAAGTTGCCCTAATTAAATAAACGACCGCGGAAGGTTCCGCTCTCTTCATCGTGTCACTGACGGACGTGAGCAAATGTGTTCAGAAGGGAAGTGTGCTACTTAAAGCCATGAATAAAGGCCGTTTCAGTCCGGCGGGCGACCCCTTGCCCGCGTGTGTCAATCGCCAGCATTGTTCTTGAAGTGTGAATTGAGGTGGCTATACATGTGATTTGGGTGTACATCATCCTCACAAAAGGCACACTTCTCTCGGCTGTTCATCTGCTGAGCGTCTGTCCCCGACGCCTGGGCCGACAAGTCCGGGAGGTCTGGAGTCCAAAAAAGCTGGACATAGACAAAGGACATTAGAGGGCAATCATACTGACAAATTATTCATTTGTTAAGCTGGCATCAGATAATGATGGGTTAATAAAAGCCAAGATTAAACTATTCAACATGCATCTGTTGCTCAAACTGCTCAAATGCACTAAAGTATTGCATTACTTCATTACTACGAAATATTATGCAAGTGAAATGCAAAAGCGAAGGCCTTTAAGTGACATGTTTGTGTAATAATAACAAAAACAATAACACTCACACACACATATATTAGGGTTGTTGATCTTATTCATTAAATAATGTGTCAAAATGAACACAATTTAACGCTCCAGACCTCATCCTACAGTTGATCGGTGACGAACACGAGGTGATTCATGATGAAGACTGTAGAATGCAGTTCGAATGGCTCTAAAATTCAAGATATCAGGGCAAAAATGCCCCTGTATGAGTTTTTGTCTCATATTTATCGCATGATATAGTTAAGCGACATCACACGAGTAACAAGCGCAATATCAAGCGAGTTGTTTTTGTCCTGAATAGTACGAGTGTAAATGTGATATTGATTTTATACAACAGTTCAATAAATAAGAAGTTAATATTGTATGATATCGGGTGAACCAATGATTCAATGGCCCATTTATAAAGAGAGACATTTACTTAAATCCTGAATGAATCAGCAATTTGAACAAATCCAGTGATTGCATGACTCATTTAGACATTTACCGCCACCTACTGGCAGTTTTACTTTCTTATTTAGAGTATCATTTCATAAAAATAAAAATAAATATTAATAAAAAAACCATTAAAGATATAGTCCGCCCCAAAATTTTAATTCTGTTATCATTTACTCACCCTCATGGCCGTTGAAGCCTAAAAGTTTATGTGTAATAAATTCGATGTTGAATCAAACATAATATTTCTTTCTAAAGCTACTTTTTGTAATGTCTATTTGACGCTTTTCTCACTTAATAATATAATGAATTTAAATGATCTTTTGGGGGTTATTTTCTCAGCCAAATTTGATTTGCGATTAATTTATCGCTACATCGTGTTATTAATTAGATTCAAATTTGTAAAATAAATTGGGGCTGTCAAGCGATTACAATTTTTTATCTAATTAATAACGCGATTTAAAATATATACATGTAACTTTTGCATTTCATTTAGATTTTCTGCTAGTGAGAAAAGCATTTTATTTTTACTCGTCTCACATTCTGGACGCAGTCATATGATAACCAAAACACCTGACTTCATAATCAATCTGTTATCACGTATATTAAGATCTATCCATCTGCAAACAGCACTGAGTTTTTTTTAAATGCAATGATGAAAAAAAAAATGCTCTTTTTAGCATGACACCAGATTTACACTTCATAATTTAGCCATTCCGTTCAAAATGTCTGTTTTGCCAACAACACAATTTTTTTTTCATGCTCTTAAAACAGATGAGCCCAGGTATCTGCAATGCTTTTGAGCTGAAAGAGAGCAAAAAGAACAGTCCGGAAACAAGTGTAATAGTACGACAGCACAGAAGACGGGGTAATATGTGATTCACAGCTCTCTGTGGTCTTAGCACATCCTAATTGACATCCTAAATGGAATAGCACCGAATTCCTGTGCAGATGTGAGCCTTACATAATAGGTGTGAGTTTCGCGGTTCTCCATATGGACAGGTAAAAGCAATAGGGCTCTTTTCTGTCTTCTTTATATGCGTTTAATTTAGATTTCCTTTGCAATTTCACAAGCTGCAAATATATACAGTTGTTATTATGCAGCTTTACACACCCCTTCCAGAATCTGTAAGATGTTTAGCATTTGCACAAGCTGTATAACAGATATTTAAATATATTCCACAAGACATTTTTTTATTTTAATTTGAACATGATCATTTGGTTTACATATTATATCATGTGTCGCCTCCTTGAGCATTAGTATTAAAATATTATAAATAAGATTTTTAAAATCTAAAAAAAAATATATGATCCCTATATTCGGTGAAGGGCATGTAAACCTACAAGTACTGTATATAATATTTAGCTTGTGAATTTTGTGTAGTATAACGTGCTTTTTAAAATAATGTGTAGATTTGTCTAGTTTACATAATATACACGTTGTTCTAAATTAAACCTCGTGAGTCCCTTTTAAGGGATGGTCACTAAAATTGAACCTCATACGTGACTAATGTGAAACGCTCTACATAGGTAGCAAATACCACACTAATATGGCTTTTCACACGAAGACTTAATTCAATTTACTTAAATAGTTTGCTGTTAGCATGTTGCTAAGCTAACAACACAATATTATTAGCCATAGAATAAGCATAAAAATAAATACAGTAGCATACAAAATACTGGGTAAAATAAAAGTAGACTGAAGTCTTTTTTAAGGCTTTTTAATGCATTAACACAATGCTCATCATCACAATGCATTATTTTGGGATTGCCCATACTAAGAATACATGCATTGCTGGAAAATAGGTTTATGCTAACAGGCATCATAATTATGCTGTTTACCTGTACCTTAGTCTTTGCTTTTAGAGATGATGCCTTAAAATGCTGCCTAAGTATGTATTTAGATTAAGTGTAGCATAATATTAACACATCAAAAAGAATGGGTATCATTCACTAGATGTCAAAATATAAAAAACAACCTCATGCTTACATTATGTTTTTGATGTCAGGCTTTAGAATAACCGTTTAGCACATGATTTAGACAGGTAAGCAAAGACATTATGCTTTATGTTAATACTTAGGGAGCTGGCTAGCTAGGCGGCATTTAAAGGCATCTTTTACACTGCAGGTCTTGATGCCCAAATCCGATTTTCTGACTATATCCGATTTTTTTGACGACCCGCTTACATCATCTTTTAAAAGTGACCCGTATCCGATTTTTGCATTTACACTATACACTGCTGAAACGACCAAATGTAGACGTTCTGTCCCGGAAAAGGAAGTAAAACAGCACGAAATACAATGGATGCAGATGCGAATAAAATTATCCAGTGTTTTGCTTTTCACAATATTTTTTAAAGTCATTAAGCTTTTTATCTTACGGTGGCACTGTAGCTACGAGCGCTTAAAACCGTGCCTCCCCATATCTCGTGAAATGTCTTCAAACGCGGATTTATTTCTGTAACAACCCTGCATTTTTGCCTCTTCGCCCCAAACACTCAAAAGACATGAAACCTCCGCATTGCTCCACTGTGTGTATCCTTCGTTATCCATCGCGCTTATAATAAGTCATGTGATCTCAGTTGTGGTGTCCACCTGAGTTGACGTCACTTTTTTAATGACGTACGACTCGCATTTACTGGGGAATATCCGATTTGTCTGCTTACATGGCACACGCAAATGCACGTATCCGATTCATATCCGATTTATTACCACATATGAGTGAGGCCTGAATCCGATCTGAGAAAATCGGAATCCATGCGTTTTTTTCCTGCTTACACGTTCATGGGTCATATCCGATCTGTGCCACATGAGAGGAAAAAAATCGGATTTGGGTCACTTGAACCATGCAGTGTAAATGGGGCCAGAATGCTGCTTAGAAAAGTAGTCAGAGTAATTGCTGCCATATTATACTACTTTCTATGCAGAGATTAGAAATGATTCAAGGAACAAAAACTGAAAACAAATGTTGTTTTGTTTTTGTTTTTGCGGAACATAACGGAAAGCTGGAATTTTCCCTAAAAAACAATGACCAAAGAATTTTGTCCAAGTAAACTTTCAGATTTACACCACTTCCTGTTGCATGAATCCGTTCGTTTCCCGCACGCTGTTATGAGGGAAAGATTTGAATCTAATCCCTTCTACAATGTCCTGTTTAATGGCAGCATTGCATGTATTCTTTGCAGGCAATCCCAAAATGCATTGTGATGAGCTCAGTACATGTAAAAAGCAACAAAAAAAGGTTAGGTTACACTTTATGCATTCTACTAACTATAAGTTACTACATGTCAACTAGCAGTAATTAGAGTATTAGTAGGCTGTTAGGTTAGGGCTAAGGGTTTGGGTTCGGGTTAGTAGAATATGTTGACATGTAGTTGCAAAGTTATAGTTAGTACTAGTAGAATGTCTAAAGTGGACCATTGAAAATAAAGTGTTACCTTTTTAGTATTTTATTTCAGTTAACATTTATTTTGTTTTAAGGTCATTTTAGTTAATGATAATAACCCTGGTTTGCTTCTTTGCTTATTTTAATAGTGAAAACCATACTTGAGTTATTAATTCATTACATTTATATAAGAATTCTAAAACTAAATTTTGGATTAACTTGATTAAAAACCTTTTCAAGGGGTCTAAGTAGAGAGAAAGGTCATACAAAACAATACCTATTAAATGAAATACATTCTAAATAAAAATGGACAAACTTAGTTTCAGAATGCGTGTGTTCTGTGTATTTTTATGCTAATGAACCAAATTCATTTTGGTTTGCAGTTTGGTTTCTCCCTTTGTAGGCAGTAAACATGAAGGCAGCTCACTAGGTTTTGGAACAGAACACTATAATGACATAAAAATCATCTTTTTTGAGTGATATTAGCCAAATACAATGCAATGTTTCCAAGTTTAACCTGACTGGGTTGTGAATAATCTTAAAAAAACGACTGCTGTTATAGATGTTTTCTTAAGCAGACGGGTTGTATGTCTCTCACATCACTTAAGATGTGTCCTAAATGTCGCACTATACATACGTACTTAAAACAATACTATGCAATACTTATGTACTAATGTACAATACTTATGTCATATTGCATGACGTACTTATGCAAAAGGTACTCAACCGTGTAGTGTATGAATTTTATATGTGGTAACACTTTACAATAAGGTTCATTAGTTAACGTATTTACTAACATGAACTAACAATGAGCAATACATTTGTTACGGTATTTATTAATCTTTGTTAATGTTAGTTAATAAAAAAATCCAGCTGTTCATTGTTAGTTCGCAGTGCATTAACTAATGTTAACAAATACATCCTTTGATTTTAATAACGTAGAAGTAAATGTTGAAATTAATATTAACTAAGATTAATAAATGCTGAAGAAGTATTGTTCATTCTTAGTTCATGTTAATTAAGGTAGTTAACTAAGATTAAATAATGAAAATTTTTTGTCATTCAACATCAGTCTGTTAGCTCCTCCCCCTCTGCTACGTAAATAAAGCTGCCACCATTCAAGTGTCCAACATTTCACACTTCGTTTTTCAGTTAATTAAGTGCATCATCCGGGAATTAAAATACTTCACAGAATTCACAGTGTGAACTCTCCTCGCTCTATTTATACTGCAAAACCTCATAATAAGCGAAATGGGACGCACCTTTAGATTTTTTGTTCTTACAATTCGACCTGTCCTACACCATGCGATGTTGCAATTCTTAAATGTTCACTTTTTAAAAAACTTTTGCTGATAATTTACTCACCCCCATGTCATCCAAGATGTCCATTTCTTTCTTTCTTCAGTCGAAAAGAAATTAAGGTTTTTGATGAAAACATTCCAGGATTTTTCTCCATATAATGGACTTCAATGGGGTCCAAACGGTTCAAGGTCCAAATGACAGTTTCAGTGCAGCTTCAAAGGGCTTTAAACGATACCAGACGATGAATAAGGGTCTTATCAAGCGAAATGATTGGTCATTTAAAAAATAAATACAAAAGTTTAAATTTTATTAGCACAAATGCTCGCCTTGCTCTGTTCTGTGATGCGCGTTCGTGACGTCACGTAATACGCAATTACGTTGAAAAGGTCTCACAGAACAGAAACTATCGTTTCGCTTGATAAGACCCTTATTCATCGTCTGGTATCGTTTAAAGCCCTTTGAAGCTGCACTGAAACTGTCATTTGGACCTTGAACCGTTTGGACCCCATTGAAGTCCATTATATGGAGAAAAATCCTGGAATGTTTTCATCAAAAACCTTAATTTCTTTTCGACTTAAGAAAGAAAGACATGGACATCTTGGATGACATGGACAAGGATATCAGCAAACTTTCAAGGCATCCTGGCGTGTGGATGTCCATCTTACCTGTTGAGGTCCTCGTACATTTTCGTGTGAGGCAGAAGATGCGGATGCAGATGTGTGAGCTGAGGAAGAGGGGGCGGGGTATGATGAACAAGACTCCTCCCTCATTGTGTGCAATTGGTCTCCCAGGTCCAGTCTGTGCAGAGGCAGGTCCACTCGTTTATCCGGTGTACTGTTGAGAAAGTCGTACTGGTCGTCTGCGTTTGGGGGAAACTTCACACTCAGGCCGCTTAGGGAAAGGTGGTCAAAAGAGGTGTCGACTGGAACTGCGCCACGTGATGCGAGGGACGCGGAGTTCGAGGATTCATCGACCTCTGACCTCAGCGGTGAGGAAAACGGCACCTCGGCTTGTTCGGCCGTGTCGTCGGTGCACTGGATGGGCATGGAAAACTGCACTGGAATCAGATAGGAAATCAACAGAACATTTATGTTATTTCAGTCAGGACCACTTTGAGAATTAAATTTATTGACAATCTTTGGATTTGGTGAGAGGCTTAAGGCCCTTGCACACTGAGTCCGAAATTTTCGTATGCGTTTTTTCGTATTTGTGATTCGGTGGCTCTGAATTGTCAAAACACCATTAAAACAGCTTGCTACGGATGCGAAAAACGCAGAAAATCAAACCCGATTCGATTTTTTTTATGACGGACAAAAGTTTTGGAGGCAGTGTGCAAGCGTGATTGACATGATGTGAGGTCGTATTTATTTTTTATGGACTGCAAATGGTAAATGGACTGCATTTATATAGCGCTCTCACAGACCCAATGGCCACCAAAGCGCTTTACATTTTTGCCTCACATTCACCCATTCACTCACTCATTCATACACCGCCGGCGGTGTCAGCACATTTTTTAAGGTGCAAAAATTTCGGGCGCGAATTTCGGACTCAGTGTGCAAGGGCCCTAAGGCTCGAAGGTGCTCGAGCTGCCATACTAGACAGCTTGAGATACATCCTTGAGACACAAATCCCCCAAGCCTTTTTAATAACCAAATGTTTCTAAGCATATGTTACAGAAGGAGATACAATGATTACGTACATAGAGTTTCTATACAGAATCCAATGCTCTATTATGAAGATGCTAGGAGGTGAAGGTGGGTGTAAATGCGTTCATTTGTTGAATGACCTGAAATACTCATTTAAGCTCAGTTGATTAGAGTAGGTGGAGTAACAAATCAGCTGAGCGTCTGCTTGAACTACGCTTGAATTTCATTCGATCACTCAAGCTCTATTTGTCCAACACCAATGCTCATATCATGAAAAACATGGTAACATTTTTAACATTAGTTAACGTGAACTAACAAAGAACAATACTTCTATAGTATTCATTATTCTTAGTAAATGCTGACAATAACATTAACACATTATTAAAATCAAAAGTTCTGTCTGTTAACATTAGTAAATGCCTTTTAAACTAACATGAACAATTGTAATTTTTATTAAAGGGGTCCTATGATGTTTTTTTTTTCCTCTATGTTCATCTTTCTTTAGTGTATAATGTTGCTGTTTGAGCATGAAAAGCTCTGAAAGTCCCTCCAGCGGGAGTTATTCTCTATATCAGTGTCAGTGTTTCTGAACTCCCTGAAACGCCTCCATTGTAGTCTTGAGTTTTCTTCCGGGAACAAACACATCACAATATTCCTCATTTAAAGGTGCTCTATGTAACTTTTCTAATAAAATGAATCCTTTTTTTATTGCCTGTGTGTGAAGGGGTTGTAATCACACATTAAAATGATCCACTTGTCGAGTTTTGCTTTTACCTCTGAAGGCCAGTATTCCTATTTCTATGTGAAGTCTCCGGGTCGGATTTTCTGTGAAATTCATCGGATGTGACGTGCATGCGCGCTCCCGAGCCTCTCTCCTTATACAGTCTATTGTAGACGGTCAGGGAGTTACGTCCGGTTAAAGGCGCACGTTTTTCGGCTTATATCTCAGTCAATCTTTGATCAATATTCCCAAGACTCTAATCGTTCGTAGTGCTGGACGGGGCCTTTCGAACGAGCCCACCCCCGAGGTCCAACTCGCCCGGCTCCCCGAGTTATAGCCGTTGGAAATCGGGGGTCCCAGCGAACGGCGATCCGGTAGGGGGCATCCCCGAGGCCCGCCACTCTAGCGTTCGGGCAAGGGTTCCCCTGGGACCTCCTCCCCCGAATTTGAGCTCTCTGGGTATTTGCGTTCCAGAGATACGAGCGATTTTCTTCTGAGATCGTGACGTCACCGGCGTCCGCAATTTTGCAGCGCGCCCGATGGTTTTCTGCTAATATCTCCGCGAAAACACCACCAAAAACTATGGAACTTATATGGTTCTTTTCAGCTCGACTAGATGGTCCCAACGAGCTCGGTGCTCGCCGAATCCGTCAAGTATTCGCCGAGATATTTGCGTAATAGACGGTATTGTCTATGAGTTCTAGCACCAGCGCTCTTGTAAAATTTGGTTGCAATCTGAAACATCACCACTAGAGGCCGCTAAAAGTTACGTAGAGCACCTTTAAATCATTCATACGCAGAATAAAGGGGCGGGGCCTGGTTGAGTTAGTTAGTAGTGTGTTGAAACTGGCGGTTATGGTAAGGGGCGGGACATTTCCCCAAACACGCTCAAAGCACTTGACCAATCACAACACACTGATCCAGCCGACCAATCAGAGCACGAGTGTGCTTTTCAGAAGGAGGGGCTTCATAGAGACAGGAACTAAACAGGGGTGCGTTTCCCGTACAACGATCGCTTCCTAACTACCATACCATAACCAACTAGCTAGTCACTGACCTAAAACCATATTGTTGCAAATTTGTCGTTCAACCACATTGGTTAATGATCTCATGCAGGTGGTGGAGTAATTACTGTATAACTTCTTTTAATGAATCCATTTGAGATCGAATTAATGCCATATTATTTGCTATAATGGACATGGACTTGGCATCCGAGGACCAATTCTCATTTATCTCAGTTATTTTGCTTAATTTCCTGATTTATTCACAGGCTCGTTCTTACGTTTGTACATGCGCACTCTTCAAAAACGGTGCTTTAAATCTCTTGACCAACTAAAACACGTAAATGACATTTATATATTTTCAAATTAAAAACATATAGATTGTACTGGATGTCAGTTTGCTTATTTGGCTCAAGATAAGGATTTATTGAGTCCACAATATGTCATGCAAACAAGAAACTCTGCCTCTCACCTCAGTTCGAGAGCTGTCGTTCCAAAACACACAACTTTGTGATTCTGGAAACACGGACTCGTTGAACTACGCTAATAACGATGGAACTTGCGACCATAGTTGGCATTCGAACTTTCAAGCATGAAAACCTATTCTAGTCGAGCCCAGAAACAAAATCAAAAAGGGCATATTAGGTCCTCTTTAACAAACATTATCAAAGATTAAAAAACACTAAATATATATATATATTGCTCGTTGTTAGTTCATGTTAGCTAATGCATTAATATTATCAAATGTACAGTGGTACCATTTACCACACTTACAGATCATAATGCCTATTGTGATAGGTGCATTTTTATAAGTCAGTCTGGATATGTTATCAAGTTTCTGGTCCAAATCCAATAAAACTTGTTGCTAGAAGTTACAATTAAAAATGATTGCTTTAAGCTCACTTTGCATAGAAGTGTTTGCTAAATGACCAAAATAAACATCTATTAATCAAGTCAAGTCAAGTCAAATATATTTATATAGCGCTTTTCACAATACAGATTGTATCAAAGCTGCTTCACAGTATCAATCAAAACAACTTAACAGTGTTTGTTTATTACTGGAAAAGATATCCAAGTTTGGTAGAGCTGATCAGTGGTATGATGGGTCATTTAATTTGAATATCCCCAACTGAGCAAGCCAAAGACAACAGTGGCAAGGAACCGAAAACCTCCATCAAGTGACCCGATGGTGTCCTAAAACTCCTTCAGATGACCCAATGGAGAAAAAAAAACCTTGGGAGAACCCAGGCTCAGTCGGGGCCAGTTCTCCTCTGGCATTTATGAAGTAGAGGCCGAATTTACAGTAACTGTAAGATTAAAAATTGTATATGAATGCCTGGCTAAATAGATGCGTCTTTAGTCTAGTTTTAAACTGGGAGAGCGAGTCTGAGCAACGAACAATATCAGGAAGGCTATTCCAGAGCTTCGGAGCTAAATGTGAAAATGCTCTCCCTCCTTTGGTGGATCTGGATATCCTAGGAATGACCAGAAGCCTCGAATTTAGTGATCTTAAAGAACGCGATGGATTATAGGGTGATAGAAGATCCGTTAAATAGACTGGAGCCAAACCATTCAGAGCTTTATAAGTCAAAAGCAATACCTTGTAATTAATACAGAACTTTATAGGTAACCAATGAAGTGATGAAAGAATCGGTGTTATATGATCATATTTTCTTGAACTCTAGCGGCTGCATTTTGCACTAACTGTAGCTTGTTTATTGAAGATGCATGCAACCAGCTAATAAAGCATTACAGTAATCTAGTCTCGAGGTCATGAATGCATGAACTAACTTTTCTGCATCAGAGACTGATAGCATATTACGTAGCTTAGCAATGTTTCTAAGGTGGAAAAAAGGCTGTTTTTGTAACATATGAAATATGCTTTTCAAAAGACAGGTTGCAGTCTAATGTAACACCCAGGTCAAGCATCTAATGTAATCAAGCATTAAGAGGAACACAAATGGAAACGGACAAGCCTCATGTAAATGGTGGAGAAAAGTCTCAAATGTTCCCTGGAATCAGAACCAGATCGAAGATAAACTGAAATCAAGGATTTTTCTCTTGTCAATCTCTCTCGCTCATATAGATACAAGTGCATTAGTATGCAAATGCAAAGAAAGCACAGCAGTGATATGCACACCATGCAACACTGACTATTAATGAGGAACTCTGTCAATTTTAGCACCAAACAATGCAGTGAGAATTGCTCTACCATAACAACTGTGTCAGCCGCTGCCACTGCAAGAGCAATTAAAATCAGCTAGACAGAGCTCGAAATTCACCTCCAATGCGTCCTGATCAAAGTCTGTGATCACACTGAGAAGGCACGTGGAGCTAGTAATGTAACATATTATGAAATCATAATCAATAAAGCATGGCTTTCAACCTCCTCGTAAACGATGGAGGCATTTTATTTAAATGCAGCAATCCTGAGATCATTGTGAAAACAAGTATTATTATTATTATTTATGACTACTATTTTGAAATTTTCTTTTCCATTCTTCAGTGAAACACAAAAGATGTCAGGCAGAATGTTTGAGCGGCTCTTTTCCATAAACAAAAGTGCAGATTTATACTGTGAAGCCCCAAAAAGGACACCATTAAAGTATCAAAACACAACATCAAATGCACTATATTATTCTTCTAGTCTTCTAAAGTCATATGATAGTTTTATGTGAGGAACAGACCCAAAGTTAATGAACTCTGTCATGCTGAACTCTCACATTTGTGTTCAATTCAAAAGCATCGTTTGACATCATTGACTACAAACAGAATTAATTCTCGCATGGGAATGCATTACTTTTAAACGTGCACAACAGCGAGAGCTATAAAAGATGAGAAGATCATATGGTTTCAGAAGATATAAAATATAGCAATATATTCAAAGTCTAAAACTAACTACACATACTTGTAAATCACCACCCACTATCATTGAATAGAAAACAGCAGCTTATAGATTCAGCATAACATCTCATTTGACTTCAAATAAAATGCAAAGGTCAACAACACTAGGGTGAATAAATCATAACAACATTTCAATTCTGGGTGAACTATATAATCTTGACATAAAAGCATATATTCATTTTTAAATAGTTAGATGGATCTAGTTGCGTAGTATGTGTATTTGACCTCAAAACTTATTTCCATAATCCCTCAACAATTAACCTCACACAACATATCCACAGTGATACCAATAAATCTACTGTTATTTCTACTGTTCTGGTCTGTGATGTGATGTGACCAAAAGGACTTTGCATTTTTAAAACCAGAATTATACAACACCAGTGTTTCAGACGGTTGCCAAGATGTAGCTATTTGGTCCTTAAAGGTTTATTTTTTTATTACATGACAAATACTGATATATTTACAGTATGGTTTTCCAGAAGCCCTAACCATGAGTATGAGCAATAGTATCAGCTATTAGTAATGCTTGCCTTAGCAAACACTCATAATTGCGTTTAGTATACATATGGGGCAAAAACACACCGTCCTTTCCGTCATGCAACCACGTCCAAAAATACATCTCACTGGCGTATTGTTTTCCAAGTGATTTCACAGAGGACACGTAATTGTGTAACAGTGTGCTGCTTCAAAACAACATTTATCAAAGTGATAATTGAACACGCTCATCTGCTCAGACTATTTTAATGCTACATGGAGGTCAGAGGTCACTGGAGCAAAAAGCCCTTACACTATGTCTTTGCGTGGAGTATTTCTGCTTTTAATTGCGTGAAAGAACAAACAATGAAATGTGTAATTACTAGTATCCTGCATTACACTACTAGCTATGTAATTACTAATTTGTTGTGACATTTCTAAAGTAATTGTAACTCATTTGACCTAATTTAATTAGAATGGGAAGAAACGCACTTGGGTGAGGTGGTATAACAGCTATAATTTAATAAAGGATATTAGTCCGAAATTTCAAATTAGGTTCTTAAAAATGATTTTACCATTAGATGTCTCATTTCCTTTGTGTATTCTCTTCAGGTGATCTTTCTGCCGTCTGGTTAGAGTCTGGATCCTCTGGAAAGTCCCCTGGATTTCCTGCCAAGTGTCCAGAAAATTCTCACTAATCGAAAGAGAAAGAGAAGTCAAATGTCTGGCTGGGATCTTTCAAAATAATAATGCTAATAAACAAAATTAAAAAACAGCGTTAAGATTAGAAAAACAAATAACTTTCTCCAGAATATCTAGTTCTACTCACACTTCACTGGGAAGGAAAGTAAATAACTAAACTAAGTAACTAGCTAAGTTAATAACTAATCTAATTAAATAAGCAAACTATGTAAATAACCAAACTAAGTAAATAAATAAATAAATAACCAAACTAAGTACACATCCAAACTAAAGTAAATAACTAATTAAGCAAATAAGCAAACTAAGTAAATAACCTAACTAACTAAATTAAGTAAATAACCAAACTATGTAAATAACCAACTTTAAAAGGAACTTTTTTACTTCATTTAAATATATTAAAATATGAATGGCATAAAACTTAATATAAATAAATAACTAAGTAAATAACTGGACTAAGTAAATAAGCAAACTATGTAAATAACAAAACTAAGTAAATAAAAATATAACCAAACTAAGTACACATCCAAACTATGTAAATAACTAAACTAAAGTAAATAACTAATTAAGCAAACTAAGTAAATAACCTAACTAACTCAACTATGTAAATAACCAAACTATGTAAATAACTAAACTAAGTAAATAACTTCAATAACTACCTATATCAAAAATCATACAATATAAAAGCTTTGAGTGCCTTATTGCTTTCAACATAGCAGTTCCTCATAAAATGTAATAAGTTATCATTAAAAACTAATTTTATTTAGCATCAAGTGCCATCTTTCTGCTAGAATATCAAGTCCTGACATGTAATTTAAAGTTAACTGTTGGTTTCTAATATACATTGCAGCCATTTCTATGTGGTGTAAAGCTGTACACTGTATTGACCAATCAGCATCCAAGACAAGAAACATTAGATTTATAATGTGTGCATTATGTGTATAATGCGCATATTGTGTATTTAGTGTATTTTCTACATGACTGCAATGTCGGAGACCACATACAACGTATTTTCACCCACTATTACACTTGTAGACCAAAAAAACACTTTCATAACCGGGGCATTTTACCACCATATCCCAAGTATCTGGGACACACTTTTCACTTTTGGTGACATAAGCCCTGGTTAACTTAAAGGGATAGTTCACCAAAAAATTAAAATACTGTCAGTAATTACTCGGCCTCATGTTGTTCCAACACCGTAACACTTTCGTTCATCTTCAGAACACAAATTAAGATATTTTTGATTAAATCTGAGAGCTGGATCACTCCTCCATAGGCTTCTTAAGGGATTGAAACTTGCTGGCCGAGAAAAGTTATGAAAGACATCATTAAAATAGTCCGAGTGACTACACAGTGGCTCAACCTTAAGTTTATCAAGCGACGAGAATACTTTTTGTGCGCAAAAAACAAACAAAAATAACGACTTTATTCAACTCTTCATTTCCTTCTCTGTGGGCCTCGAGTGAGTTCACGTAGTGTAACAGCGCGTGTGATGTACAACCTAGAAGCTTTGCATAGTTTCACTACATGAAATATCACGGCCCACAGAGAAGGAAATGAAAAGTTGAATAAATTTGTTGTTTTTGTTTGTTTTTTTGCGCACAAAAGGTATTCTCGTCGCTTGATAAACTTAAGGTTGAGCCACTGTAGTCACTCGGACTATTTTAATGATGTCTTCATAACTTTTCTCGGCCGGCAAGTTTCAATCTCTTTAGAAGCCTATGGAGGAGTGATCCAGCTCTCAGATTTAATAAAAAATATCTTAATTTGTGTTCCGAAGATGAACGAAAGTCTTATGGGGTTGAACAACATGAGGGAGAGTAATTACTGACAGAATTATAATTTTTGGGTGAACTATCCCTTTAAAGTTAACCCAAACAAGCCTTAACCCATAAAGTATAACAGCCCCACTTCTGAATGTCATTCAACATGACATTTAAGTATATAAAGACATGTTCATCTCCGCTTGTTCCAAACTGATGCCAAATCAACTGAACGGCATTAGTATTTCATGAGCACAGGGTATCAGGGGTGTTGTTTTTGGATCCGTTTGAATGTTATTCAGATATTATACAAGATATATTCTGCAAGAACAATACTGACCTAGGGGTGGGCGATATCTCGATATTTAAAATATATCGAGATATTTTTTAAACACGATATGGATTTTGACATATCGTATATATCGATATATTGTTTATATTTAATCCTGATTTCGCCACTTTGCTTGTTTGCCTTCTCTGTGCTGTGCTCGCCCCCGCCTCCTTGCTTTTGTTCCCCCTCACCTCGCGTGTTGTCTCATTCAACAATTGTCTCATCCGCAACCAGCCCGGAGGCTACAGAACTCCGAGTGTGTCTGCGCGCGAGCGACAGAGCACGAGAGAAACCGAGTGTGAGCATTAATTGCATTAGTAAATTGGTAGCCTACATACTACAATATATAATTACTATATAAGAGGCATGGAAGTTCGATTAACCCTTTCACACGTAAGTTTAAAATATTCTAACTGACCCCCCAGCGTGAGTTTTTCAAGGCGACCGTTATTTAGAACCTGTCACTTTAATGTTTCCATGGTGACGCGTCATTTCTTGTCACGTGACACAGCGCAATCACAACACAGAGCTGAATGAGTGATGATCTGCTTTTATGTCTTTTTTCCTTTTCTATTCAAAATATTCACAAATGTATTAGCTACAGCATGAAACACTGATATTCCGATTGTCAAATATGTGCAAGTGGATGTGTTTTGTTGTTTAAACATATTTATAACGATCGCGTTAGTTGAGCTGTATGCACGATGGGCGGCGCCATGTTAGTTTGTTTCACAGTTCAGAGAATCGGACCTGTTGTTTCTCACGAAATACATGAAAGTAAGTGGCCGGTGAACTAGGAGAAGAATAGGGTAAAATGGAAAGCTACTTACACAATGTGTATCTGATATGAATAAAACGTTTTGTCTTATTATAATGGAAATGATTATTGTTGCCGTTTCCATAGACATCAGTGTCTATTTTACTAATTCAAAATCACTGTTTTGCTAGTACTTATGTGTATTTAAATGTCTGAAACCTAAAATAAACATTATGTGGTTTAAAATACTCAATAGTTGTGATATATGACAGCACTGAGTGCGTCTGTCTCTGGCTCAGCGCCAGCCAACGTGCGAAAGCACGTTTGAATTTAGCAGTTGATCACGTGATGCACTGACCGTTCTAATCACACCGGTGTGATCGTACGCTCCAGGGACCAGCCAAGACTGATCACACCGGTGTGATCCAAGGGGGTAATCCATCGACCGGAAGTTGAAGCCCGCCGGGTGCCGCCATGTTGTAGCAGAACTTCACTTGCGTTAGCATTTCCATTGACTCCCATTCATTTTTGCGTCACTTTGACAGCGAATAACTTTACATCTGAGGCGTTTAAAGACTCCATTTGTCCATTATTTATTTCTAAAGAAACACGACAATGTATAAAGGGCTCCATTACCTTCTATGTTACACTATGGCCCCGTAGAAACAGATTTAGTAAAAATAGGCTAACGATTGCGTCATAACCACTCGACTCTCTGTCGCGCTGTACAGAAATTACCGTACAGACAGGAGGAGAAGCTCGCAGGCAATCGGGGGGACGTCCCGTCAAGGGAGAAGCCCATAGATAATGAGTCCATAAAAGCAACGGAATACTTACTCCTGCTCACTCACGCCAAAGCACTCTTTGCTCAAGTTCCCCGTCTCTGCAAGATTAACGTTGGCAGTTTTCACGCACAGCTACTAGAAGATTAACGTCTGTCAGACAGGTTGCTCACGTCATCAAGCTTAGTTTGAGTCGGTTTGAGTCTGCGCGTCAGGAACGGAAGTGCTCAAAAATCGCTAAAAGTGGGCTTCAACTGTCTCAACTGAGTTCCAATGAGATCGCTCTGTCCATTTCTTTTACTGTCTATGGTGTGATCGTACGCGTCAAAGGGTTAATGGACTCCAGTAGAAGGCTACTACAAACGTCTTGTTTTAAACTATTGCAGGGCTCGAATTTCGGCGCGGGTATTGCGCATAATTCTAATCATTCCCGCAGGTCTCCCATTTATAATGCGGGAAATTCCCGCAATCGTAATCCACACAGATTATAAAATCAAATCAAACCTTTTAACAACTATCTGCCAGACGCAATTTCACAAACAGCGTGCGTCTCTCATAATGTGTTGTGCAAGGCAAGCATCAAGAGCTGCGGCGATAAAACACACTCGCGTTTAGGAATCGGGACATGATGGATATTCACTCGCACAATCGGGCCAGCAGTGCATCGTGACTGAAGTTTACCATTTGCACGTCTTTTTAAGTCTTACCAGTTTAAACATTCAAGCGATTTTAAACTAATCAGTGCTCGCGCGCTCTCTGAGAGATTATTTTCTATGCGCACATTCATAGAAAATCCGCCTTAAGAACAGCTGGTCAGTAACAAAAGTTATTTTTCGCGGATTATATTGCTTTAACACGCAAAATTGTCAATTTCGGTCGTCGTGAGTATACTCTAAACATAGTCGGTTTTGTCTTTAATAAGCATAAAACGCATGCCAGTAATGAACACAGGATCCGTGCACTACCTCTTAAAGTGACGGCAGCCATATGTGTGTCATTCATTTTGTTGTCAATACAACAAAAGATAGCTTTAAGTTAAAGGAATCAGGATTAATAACCTATGTATTTAATTTATTCAGGACTAAAATACTACTCAGTGTTATTTTCCATTTGATTACTTTATTCAGTTTCTGTATATGAATCACGTGATTAATAATGATGACGAAATTCAGGCCCTGTGTTTAATTTTTCTCATTTGGTTACATTCTGTAATGGAAAATTAATTTTCTATTGATTGTAGGCCTATATTTTGAGTTGTATTCACATCCATTTTCCTGTAAAGATATCGAGATATATATCGAATATCGAGATATAGCAAAATATATCGAGATATATTTTTTGCTCCATATCGCCCAGCCCTATACTGACCTGCTAATTCCGATAAACAAACTTAACAGAGTTGTTAATCAGTTGTTTTAGTTCAAGTTTGAACCTTTAAGACTGGGTGCCTAAGGGACTGAAGTGCAAAATTCTTCATTAAAATTTAAATATTTTGTAAAGTGATATGATTCATCTACCTCTTCATTTCACCGGGAGCAGATATTGTGTGGGGAAGCATCCCAGAATACTCTGTGGGTTCCTTTATCTGCACAAAAACAAACAGAAGAGAAAAAAATATGGCTACAGTATGTCAGCGCATAAATTCAAAAATATCTGATTTTTTTTTTCCTCTAAATGCATGAACAAGCTGTACTGAAAACTATAGACGTCAGCTGGATGAATAAAAAAAGAATAATAGAAATAATATTTTCCCAAAATAAAATGAAGCCTATTTTTAAGATCATTAAGAGTTTTCTATTGTGACATTAATTTCATTATAGCTTCATCACACATTCTCTCCAAAGTGCTCAAATTCTCCTTATTATAATGCATTTTTCTTCTGATTTACTTTCCGTTCCCATTAATATTTAACTTTATTACATATATATATATATATATATATATATATATATATATATATATATATATTACAAACACAAATAAAAGGCAGCACAACAAATTTGTAACATTAAATAAATAAATAAAAAACTATGTTTTTGCATTACGGTAATGAGAACTGGCGTGGAAATGTGCTTAATTGTTGTGAAAATCATGTCTGACTCTAAAGGGGATCGTATGATTCACCCAGCGGAAAATACTTTAAAAAGTCCATTAAAAAGTTTGTTCAATTTCACAAAAAAAACTACATACTCCCTTAATTATGGCACCTTTGAGTGAATTTGCTACAGAATAACATTCTTTGTTGCATTTACAGGTTAGGCTCACTATAGATTTTGAATGGAGGCCATTATCTACCCAAGATTAAGTTCAGGAAAAGGAGAAAGTTGCCATTTCAAACTGTTATGTCTATATCCTTCAGTAACAGTCATCTAAAGAAAGTGACACCTTTCATAAGAGAGAACTCAATTCTCGGTGCCTGTGCAACACTGGTTAGAGATGTGGTCGAGCACAAGGAAGTGTTATGCTCTACTGCCCCCTGTGGGTTATAAACGTGTGTGCGATTAAAACAATTGAGAAGAATTATCACACTGGATTCAATTAGAGAAACATTCTCACTATGGACAGATAGCGATGAAAAATGATATCAAACTGTGAAGAGGGAGAACTACATCTTTTTCACACATTTCTCACAACTTAACCCTCGAGTGAACTGTGGATAACTAGCAAAGCACTGCAAACTCAGCTATTAGGTTTGTCTGTGCTTACAGGCGGTTAACGATGAGAACACAATATAAAGGCTGGAGGGTCTAGGGTCACGGTCAGAGAAGTCCTTTCAGAACAATTACATCACAACCAAATCTGCATTTACACAATAACTGAGAAAGAAAGAAGAGGAAAAAACAACAACATGGTGCATATCCTTGTGTTTGGACAAAGCGTTGCAAATCACAGAGGAGAAAAGAAATCAAACCGGGCCAGAGTCACATCCCTTTATATGGACATCAAGAGAAAACACACACCAGGAAATGGTTAGTCCTGTGGGGACTGGACGGGTTGTCAGAGCGATGATCGCTAGGTGACAAGGTTTCTACTTCCTTTTTTCTGTACGCAGGCTCGCAGACCTCCTCTAAAAAAAAAAAATGAAAAAAAAAAAAAAAAACAGGGCCACGTTATCAGTCAAACTCATCACCAATAACAACACTTGACAACATTTGAACACTCATCAAATCAAAGCATGCATGTCACACTTGTGTAGTTTTGCATGCTAAAATAACACTTGCATACTGAGCATGTAACATACAATCTAATTTAATAATCTAGTATGTGCATAAACTTGTTATAAATGTAATAATAATAATACTATAATATCACTTACATGCATTATGATGGGCATAATGCAGTTTGTTAAATTGTCTGATGCTTTCTCAGTTTATTTATAGTCCTACAGACAGCACAAGTTTGGTCTATAGTGTATACAAAGAAAACTTTTTTTTTTTACAACATATGAATACAGAAAAGAGATGAGTACGAATTATTTCTAAACAATTTTCATCTTATATTGAGTATGTCATGCTTTCTTGATTCTTAATTCTTTAACTCAGAGGATGCAATAAATTGCATATTAAAACATATTTGATATATTTATATTCCGTATAAAGAGTGCGACAATGGAAATGTACCCTCATAAATATATTATATATTTATTATAAGTATTTACTTTATGTATATGTATATATATATATATATATACAGGTGAAACTCGAAAAATTAGAATATGGTGCAAAAGTTCATTTATTTCAGTAATTCAACTTAAAAGGTGAAACTAATATATAGACTCATTACATGCAAAGTGAGATATTTCAAGCCTTTATTTGTTATAAATTTGATGATTATGGCTTACAGCTTATGAAAACCCCAAATTCAAAACTAGAATATTGTGAAAGGTTATCATAAGCTGTAACCCATAATCATTAAATTTATAACAAATAAAGGCTTGAAATATCTCACTTTGCGTGTAATGAGTCTATATAATATATTAGTTTCACCTTTTAAGTTGAATTACTGAAATAAATGAACTTTTGCACCATATTCTAATTTTTCGAGTTTCACCCGTACATACACTACCGTTCAAAAGTTTGGGGTCGGTACGATTTTAAATACTTTTAAAAGAATTCTCTTCTGCTAACCATGGCTGCGCTTATTTGATTAAAAATACAACAAAAATCAGTTATAGTATTAAATATTATTCCAGTGTAAATCAGCTGTTTTCTGTGTGAATATATAGTAAAGTGTAATTTATTCCTGTGATCAAAGCTGAATTTTCAGCATCACCAGTGTCAGTGTCTTCACTGTCAAATGATCCTTCACAAATCAGTATAATATGAGGATTTGATGCTCAAGAAACATTTATTATTATTATCAATGTTGAAACAGTTGTTGGTCTGTCAGTTGTACAGTTTTTTGTTGTTGTTTTTTTTAGGATTCTTTGATGAATAGGAAGTTCAAAAGAACAGCATTTGTTTGAAATAGAATCTTTTGTAACATTATAAATGTCTTCACTGTCCTTGATAAATAAAAGTATTGATTTCTTTCCTCCAAAATATAAAAATAAAATTCTCACTGACCCCAAACTTTTGAACGGTAGTGTATATAAATTATTTTTCTTAATTACTGTATATATTTTTTTGTAGTTTAGTTTCATTTTGTATTTTCACAATGTACACTATCAGTCAAAAATGTGGATACAGTCGAATTAATTTATATGTAAACTCGTTGATCTAAAGGCTTGTGCTTAAATGTTTGGAATTTGTTTTCTAGACAACAAAAAATGGCGTCCACATAAAAATTCCTTTACAAAAAATGATAAATATATAGGCTATATTTTTAATTCCCCTCATGGCATTAAAGAATCTAGACAAAGGGTGGCGATTTTGAAGAAGTTCGAACATCAGATAGTTCCCATTTTCCATCAGTTTTAATGACTGTACTATTACACTAAACTGTACACACCTCATTTCTGTATTATGATTATTTCCACATTTTCTCCTTGTGATGCTTCTAAGTTGATTTACACACAGCTGAATCTGTTTTATACAGCAAATAAGGTGTGTGTAAAGAGAAAACCCCATTTCTAACCTGATGCATGTTTACGAACTGAACTGAGCTCAGCTTTAAGATGTATGATGGTCTTCGCCTGCTCTTCTATCTTTCTCTCCAGCATCTGAGTGTGCCGCTGATACTGCTCGCTCTGCAAAAGCAACGGGTTCACGTAAGTGTCTGTCCGTCCAACTCTCATGCTAACAAATGGATTCAAATAAAAGACTTCTGATGGAACTGATAGTTCACAAACGCCACCTTATGCTGAAATTCCTTTCTGGCCGACTCTTTCTCAATAGACACATTTCGGTACGCTTCGAAGGCTTTGTTGAGCTGCTCACTGATGTTCCTGTCCATTCCCGGGCCTTCAGTAACATGCCGGACGGGTGGTCCCGGGCCCTCGTCCCAGGCACACACAAACCCCTTCTTTAACTCAGAGGAGTGAGATTAGCACCAGACCTGTCAGTAACAGCTAAACACACACACACACACAAGCTTCATCAACACTGCTCGAGCTACTAAAAGCATAAAATGGCAGTTTAACATCTCATATTTTGCCAACATCACCTAAATGTGATAAACTTGATAGCATGAAACTCATTTATTTTCCACCTGGTCTACATTAGTGCTTCAATATATATATCATTATTTATATTAAATTACAAAACATAAAAGAACTAGATCATGAGGAAACCCTTTTAAAATGTATGAAGGCACATTTGGTTTAGAAGTATTTCTTTCCCTCCTTTCAATCTTATTTGTACATTTCACATTGCAAACCTCGACGTACCTTTTTGAAGAATAAAAATGTTAACATAAAACATAAAACAAGAATAAATCATGCCGACAGTTAAGAATAATAGCAATGTGTTCAGTTAGATTCAGTTTAACTTTAGTATTTAGTCTTGCCAAACATGCAAAGATTGTAAGAAATGCCACACTTTTGAATGCACAAGGAATAATATAATATGTCATTTTAAAATGCCTAAACAAATTTCATTTCTGGGTCTTATTGGGGAGGCCGGGGGTAATTGTCATACGTTTAGCTATATTTCTCAGGGTAGATTTGTTTTTTAAAGCCCATTTCTCAATGGATTCAAACCTTAAAGTATTAGCTACTAAAAACCTATAGAATATTTTCACCATACTGACAGGGGAAAAATAAAACACATCTCATGTCATGACACACTTTGGATATGCGAGGTAAGTTGTCACAATGGGAACTTGGCATTAAACAACCTATTTTAGTCTTTTCTTACACAAACAATTCATGAGAAAGCAGAAATGTAAAAGGCAACATGCAAAATATCACATATATATTGTATAAAAATCACAATATATAAAAGACATAGGCCTAATCTGACATTAAATACTCAGTTTAACATTTCAGTTCAGACCATTTCAATAGTGACTATAGCTGTCTATTGTGTTCACTTGTTAGCAAACATATATAAAAAAAAAACATGATGATATTGTAATTTAACTTTGGAAGACAGAACTCACAATGTGTTTGAAACCAGAACAAAAACATTTGTGAAACTGGACTTCTGACTCAAAAGAGTTATTGAGAGACAGACCTTGTGACAACTAGTCCCGGCCTAAATACTATAACAAATAATGTGTTTCAAAACAGTTTTCTAGAAACAGAGCCAGCTAACTTTATACTTTAAGAAAAAACTTGCAGTATTAATAAAACAAATGAAACAACAGAAATATAACACAATAACCCAACCAAACTACCCAATGACCAACTAAAAGCAAAGGCGATCCGTCAAACACCCTCATATCTCAACACAGTGAAGTGAATGAAGTTAGTGCACTCATTAGTGTACATCACTAGCGTCTTACCTTCACTCCAAAACACCCCAAACGCATAAACTTAAAAGCAGTCTGGACATCGCGACGGTGATACACGTATATGTACGCGTTTAACGGGAGGAAATGAACTATTTCGTACAAATGAACATTTTGTATGTTTTACAATGAGCTGGAACTTCCCTCGGGGAATCCCCGAGCGCCCTCGACTTCCGCCTGCTGCGGCTCAGCCAATCAGAGGCGAGTGTGTTTTTGTGCCAGTGTGTGCGTGCGCGAATACGTGCACTGGGTCTGTTATAAATATCACTGTGCTTGTGTATCCAGTCTGATCTTCTGGAACACAAAATAGCATGTTCATATTTGTGTTATTTTTCTTTTATCACGAAGATGCTTTTTTGGCCTAAATGCCCATCCTTGTATATCCATGTTTGCATTGTTACCATTTTTTCAATTCTATATACATCTCTCTAGACTCTCTGTATATTCTGTGCATATTATATTATACAGATTGAACACACACATTCACTCACACACACACACACACACACACACACACTCTCTCTCACACATGTACACACACTCACTCACTCACACACACACACACTCTCTCTCACACACACACACACACACACACACACACACACACACACACACACACTCTCTCTTTCTCACACACACATTCACTCACTCACACACGTACACGTACACTCACTCACAGACACACACACACATACACACATTCACTCACTCACACACGTACACACACTCACTCACAGACACACACACACTCTCTCTCTCTCTCACACACACACACACACACACACACACATAGGCCTACACACACACACACACTCTCTCTCTTTCTCACACACACATTCACTCACTCACACGTACACACACTCACTCACTCACTCACAGACACACACACACACACACACTCTCTCTCTTTCTCACACACACACACATTCACTCACTCACACACGTACACGTACACTCACTCACAGACACACACACACACACACACTCTCACACACACACAAATAACTGAAGTTAAAAGGTTACACGTCAACCATCAAACTTCCCCTCTTTTAAAGTAAAGAAACATTCCATGTAAAATCAACAAAACTGTCATAATGACATAATCATAATTCTTTAAGGAAGTGAACTTTTCAAGAACAAATAAATGTACGTTATCTTATTATTTTCGTGTGTTTGTCAGTAGAAGGAGGCAAATTAAGATCTGAAAGCACATACTGTATATGGCACAATGCCATGCATTAACCCTGCAGAACTGAACGTAAGAATCACGTTTTCTTACAGTAATATAAGCTTACATAAAGTGTCACAGGACCAGTTTTCTATTTGTGCAGATGAATGTAAGGCATTTCCCCATGCAGTCACTCAAACAGAACGAAGGGCTCAAGCAAGTGTCACATCCTGTCTGCACTCATTTACACACAACTGAGAGCTTCACCATCAACTACACGTTCAATGCATCTCATTAGTAGCTAATATGTTGCTACTCTCATTAAGTAAGTATTATAAAAGCAGTTTGGTTCGTTGGCGAATAATTGCGTTCATTCATAGTGAAAACACTGTTGATCGCCCTCGATAGCGGATTTCAACTGATGCAACAAAAAAAAACATGTATTTCGTTGCACTTTGACCTCTTCGGCCTGCTTAACTTTCAGAATGTAAACAAACCCGCACACACTGGATGTAATGTCACAAAATGACCTCTAGATGGAAGTGTTACTCGTGTTTGCATCAAACAGGGTGATTACAGTTCACTAAAACTGAAACTAAAACCATAAAACAACTACTTGAAATATAATAAACATTAAAAAACGTATTTTATGTCAGCTAGTTGCAAGGCAACATTTTCATTTAGTTTAACTTGATGTACTAAAATAATTAAACCTGAAATAAAATTTAAACAACTATTAATATTTAAGAAAAACTAAAACTAATAAAAAAAGAAGGAAAAACTTACAACAAAATTACTAATATTTTAACTAAAATTAAAATGAAAGCATATAAAAAACTAATAAAACATGAGTAAAAAACTAATAGGCCTATCTATCACAATGATACAAGTCTACTTGAAGAGATCATATTTGTCCACAGACCTCATGTATATATTTAAGCCATTTAAACAGAAGTTTGGTCTCGTTTAGATTGACATATTTGGATAAATCATCATTTATACTTATAAGATAAACAAATAAGATAAAACATAAACAACGAGGTAAAACGAGGCTAGATATAGATGACAGTGTTGTTTTAATATCATTGAGATATTGATTTTATTTTTTATTTTAGTTAATGTTTTAGTAATTTTGTTGTGGTTTTTTTTTTGTTATTTTTATTTTATTTTACAATATGTCTTCATAATTTTTTATTAATTTTTATTATATTTTCAGTAATAAGAATAATAATAATATTTTATTATATAACACCTTTCCATTGTTCAAGGATGCTTTACAAAGTAGATAGAAACAATAAGAAAAAAATCACAGTAATATGGTATGTAATAATAAGAGAAAATAGATAATAATGACAGACAATATTATGCAGAAAAGTAGAATATTACAAAATAGAAGATTAAAGCAAAGATAATACAAGATAGTGAAAGTAGACAGGGTAACACAAAGCAGCCGCATAGAGTCATACAGAGAGATACAAAACACAACTTACGAATGCTAACATTCAGAGAACAAGTGGGTTTTAAGTAGGGATTTGAATTCAGAGATATTAATAATCCAGTACAGTGACCGGGGGAAGGGAATTCCATAGTTTGGGTGCAATAACACTATCATCTACTGCCCATAGAAGAGAGGCGACACCGAGGGACAGAGAGAAGGCCAGATTCAGACGACCGAAGTGATCGAGTCGGGATGTAGGGGAGAAATAGATTACAGAGATAGCTAGGAGTCAAGCTTCAATGATTTGAAAGTGAGCAGTATTTTGTACTTGATACGATAGGCCACCCTTAGCCTGTGGAGATCGAACAGAATAGGGGAAATATGAGCAGAACAAGTTTTCTTGCAGCAGAGTTTTGAATATATTACAGTCTGGCAGGAAAACCAATGAAAAGGGAATTGCAGTAGTCAAGATGGGATGAAATGAAAGCATGGATTACCGTTTCAGCGTCTTTAACACCAATGAAGTGACGGAGTTTGGTAATGTGACGTAAGTGAAAGAATGCAGATATGGTGAATGAGTTGCTATGAGCTTCACGGGTGACTGAGAGAGAAATAAATAATACAAGATTTTTACAGTACTGGGTTTGATAAAAGTACCAGCAATATCAGTAGGACATTTGCTTGTGAATGAAGGGGTTCCGGTAATAATTATTTCAGTCTTGTCCATGTTTAGTTTCAGAAGATTCTTTCAGGCATTCTTTTGTATCAGATATGATCAATTTGAGTAGAGCAGGCGTACACGTAGTGTATATCTGGGAGTCATCAGCGTGGAAATGATAATTAAAACCATGTTCGATGTAAGATCCAACCCAGAGGTAGTATGTAAATGATGAATAATAATGGACCTAGGACGGATCCCTGGGGGACACCTTGCTTCAGGGGGACAGTCGGAGATCTGAAATCCTGCATTGAAATGTTAAATTATCAGGCCGCAAATACCCACATCCGAGATGTGAGAAATAAGTAAATCATGGCAGACAGTCTCAAAGGTGAGTAGTAGAAGTATTGACAAAGTCACCACAAAGTAGTAGTAGGTCAATCACTACCTTTACAAGTGCAGTTTCAGTGCAAAAAAAACAGATTGAAAAGGATCTAAGAGATTATTTTCTATTTAAAAGACTGAAGCTGAGGCAACACTTTCCAATTAATTTGGCAATAAACGGTATTTGAAATAGGACGATAATTAGATAGGATTTAGGGGTCAAGGTTGGGTTTCTTGAGAACTTGGTAACTGCTGCAATTTTAGTTACTTTTGTAGATTAACCTAAATGAAAAATGTTTTTAAGAGTTTTTTTTTTAAATATTTTATTTCCATTAATGTTCATTTTATTTGAGGAACAAACATGCTTTAGTTTTATGTAACTATAATAACCCTGATATAGGCTGTACAAATTTTCAACAAAACGTATATAAGCCTATACTGCTAAAAAATACTCAGCATGAGGCAAAATTATCAGTGCATGTTGACAAACAGGGATTTAGAAAAGTGGTGTGTTTTGGGAGAACAGGAAATCAAGGCCCTTTCATCGCAAAGGTCCTCCCTGGCCTGGCAGCCTTGTCTGTTTTGTCTTTGTTTCATGTTTCTATGTTTGTCTTGTGTTTGAGCACATGGCTCTGTTTTGGCTGCTCAATTCCGATTTTTTTAAAAAATTCGATTTTTTTGCAAGGCCGTTCACATTTCCAATTAAATGCGACCTTTTGTGATCTCCTGTGTGAACGTGAAATGGAAATGACCCAGAAGTGACTCGCATGCGCAGAAGAGTACTCAACGGTCAATTCCCGCCTACTTCAACGCAGAATTATGACGTTTGTCGCATATCAATGACGTGCGGGTCGGATACATGTGACCTGGCCGTTCAGATTGAAGCCGCATTTCAAAAGATCGGATACATATCGGATTTGGACCACATACGGAATTGGGTCGTTTCAGCCTGCAGTGTGAAGCCTTTTGTTTGTGTTTGCCATGAGCTCCTCTTCTCCCGCCTCCTTGTTTCCTGTTACCACGCCCCCTTTTTTAGTCCACGTCTTGTCCTTGTTTCACTAATGGTGCTCACCTGATCCTGATGTGCTCTGGTCCCTTTATATTGTGCCTCTTTCCCTCATGTCTTTGCTGGTTTGTTTTGTGTGCATGCGCTTATTACAGAAATTGTCAGTCAGTGCTAGATTTAGTTTTCCTTGTTTGATTATTTCTGTTTTGTTCAATTCTAGTTTCTTTGTCCCTGTGTTGTAGTCCTAGTCTTTATTTACTTCTAGTTTTCTGAAGTCTTGGTTTTACTACTTTATTTATTTATTTATTTTTCTCTAGTCTTGTTTCATTTCTTTTTTGTTTGTAAGTACCACTTATTTTAAAAGATTATTTTATTTACCTTTATTTTCTCATTTGCTACCTCCAGTTATTATTTAGTCTAATTTGTTTTTCTAGTCATAGTTGCCAGTTTTTTGTTTCTGTTATTTCTTGTTGTGTGTCCTGCCCTGCATCCTGGTCTTCCTTGGTCATCGAGACTTCTGTC